TGACTGGTACATATTTGTTGCAAATGCATGTAGTTCCCAGAGACCTTCATTCCAGGGTAAGAATGTTGGTACTCTTGCCTAGCTGTATACTTCTTGAAGGTAGAATCTCCATTCTGGATTTATTCTTGTACTTCACTTCAGGACAGCTGAACTCCTCTTAAGCAAGAGGCATAACAGTGAGTTTATTTTCCTTATCATCTAATTATAGTTTATTTAAAAGCTTACTGCATGAAGAGTCATTGAGACTCTTTGTTCATCCTTATCAAACATGTGACATACTGTCAGCTACCACGCGGGGCCATGATAGATGTGTTTCTGAAGGAAGACCATTTATGTACCACATGAGCAGAACATACTGACTTGAACACACCACACTGTAAAACAATACTGACTATATAACAATACTGACTATATATCTTTTGAAACAAGTCAATTAGGTCAGTTATGTTTTTTAGTCTCTTTAATTACCACCTTCTGCTGAAGCTAAAATGAAAATGATGTTAATATACACTGCTCTCACCACAAATACAAGGTAGTTTGTCACAAACTTTTATGTTAGATTTAAGTATACTGAATAGTCATGTTGCTTATCTTGGGAATCCAGCACAAAGACAACAACCAAACTTCTATTTATTTGAGAAAATGCTTTATATTAGTTCTTATTAAGCATGTAAGTAGAAAATGTACCAAAATGAAAACATCTCATTAATTCTGACATATGTTACTCCTATCTTCATCTAAATGATTTTACGATTCCACCCACAATCTGTGTGTGTTTCTTCAAGGAACTATGAAAAGCTGTCTTTGACTTGTGGCTTATTTGTAAGAGGAGTACGAAAAGCGTCGCTGATGGCCACATACACCATCTGATTATTAATCATTTACTCAGTGTCTTTGACACTCAAGTGTTTAAAAGTAATTACATGAAGGTTACACATGACAAACCTGATAATATAAAGGAAATAAGTAGAAGGATGTTATAAGTGTTATAGATCATAATGTCAACCCTGACATTTGTTTTTTTTTTCATTCTGCCTTTGATTTCTTCACCTAGCACCCTGAGCTTATCTTCCCTCTGATGAATGAAGCAAGATTATAGAGTATACATGATTTAATCCATTTGACAAGAGTTTTAAAAATTGTTTTTGTCCAGAGGGTCTACTATTTCAATATTACTATTGCTTAATAACTTCATTCTAGTTCTGAAGAAAAAAACCACACTGAACTTGGATGTTTTAATTGTGGTAGGCTACAAATGGTTCAGCCTTACTGCCTGCGTGACAACTGTTCATCAGATGTTGGTAGTTCAAGGTCTTAAAAGAGATATAATAATGAAACTGACTGGTATACTACATGTCAGTTTATTCAGGCCCTTCACACTTTAAAAAAATCAGAAAATTATAACTATTTTGAAATGTCAGGATCCAATTCCTTTAGAGCCCTCCAAATAACATGAAAGAGGTGTTTATATATTCCCCAGAGTAGTTATTTAAGCATTAGTCACAGGAAAAACCTGGTTGGAAGGGTTGAGTTAAAGCAAATGTCCTAGTGATTAGCTTTAAACATTCCTCAGAATAAGACTGTCTCTGGCAACCAGCTCTCCTTCTCTTTCTCAGTTATCTATATAATAACACTGCTTTAATTTTAAAATGTTGCCAGTGCATTTTTTGGCACATAGCAAATGGATAGATTAAAATACTGTTAGTCACATGAAATTTTTTTTAAAAACTAATAAACTAGATTAGTATCTGAGCTCATGTCTTTCTATTAATGATGAAAAGTAGATAGACTACACCCAAGCCAGCATATACCCAATAGATAAATTTACCAAATGACAAAGTAAAAATAAAAATGTAGATTTGGGTTTCTATGAAAACTAAAAAAAGAAAATGAAAAAGAAGAAATGAGGGAGGAGAGAAAGAGGAAGAACGGAAGTCTCATCAGCCAAGGGTAAGCCACCCAAACCCTCAAAAGTAGAAAGGGTATAAACCAAAGCCATCTTGTCTTCTCGCAGTATTCCTGACTCTAAACAGAGACACCAACCACCAACAGAATGGCACAGCCCCAAATCCATGTGTACTTAGAGCCCTACTTTTGAAATCCCTCATTCTGCTCATTTCTATCACACTATGAGCAATCATTTTTTGAATGACAAAGGAGTTTCTCCATGAGGTCATTAACGGTAGAGAAAAAGAAAGGGAGAAATTTCTTATTTCCAGTCATTAGGATCATTTTGATCCGTTCAGAAGGTGAAATTATTTCTAACTTCATGATGAGTAAATTCAGTAATTTTACTATACTCTTTAAATTTTTAGAACCCTATACCTGTGACTATAGCTATATGTACTTATTAGAGTATTCCTTATGATAGAAATTTGGAACTTTATTGCTAAGTTGGGTTTTAACGATTTTCTAGTAGAGTTCCTTCATTATATAAGAAAAGGTCTTATGAAATCTGCAAATGGTCACACCGACAAGACCCGGCAGGATATGAAGACCAGCCATTTTCCCTCCCAGTCTATTGGATGTTGTTCCATATTATGAAGCAATTTCTGGGCCTCATGGCTTTGGGTTTGTATTAGGACGTGTAAGAACCTTTACTACTCAAAGGAGAACTATCTCTTAATGATTGATTTTTTTGTCTCATAATTGAGTTCAGTGTTGAAATATTAACAGGTAGAAGGGTTTCATGAAGAGTGAAAAACAAGTTTAAGTTTGCACCACTTGCGATTTATATTAGCTATTTTAGATGCAGGTGAAAAAGGCACACACATCCCAGGTCTCTTTACATTGTAAAACAGTGAAGTATTGTAGTTCAATCTAGAATTTGACTTAGAAAGACCCAAAGGAAGGTCAACACTGAGGACGTGGTTGGGGGAGTGATACAGGGAATGGAAGAACTGTACGGGCAACCAGTAAACTCCAAGTGTCTGTGCAAACTTGGCCATCTATTCCCTCTCTGAGGCCTATGGTTTTCTCATCTAGGATCAGGAGACTGCTCTGAATCACATAGATATACCATTAGCCCTTTGATGTGTACATATGAATGTGCATCTTCCTAGGAGAAGGTTCTATTGTTTCTGTTAAGACTGGAAAAATAACCTGGGACATTCTTATAGTGGCCTATAAGTGTATCTGAGATCCCTCCTATCCTATCTGTTTAAATGTGATAAAGCTATAATATAATTTCCATGGGAAGCAGCAATTAGTATGATTCTTAACATAAATAATGTCCTCTGCAAAGATGATTTTGCACAAAGGATGATTGCTGCCCCATCAGCCATGCATGCAAGCATGAGCTGAAGAAACACCTGAGAAAACCAGGCTAGATTTTCCCTCAGCTGCCCTAAGACAATGAAACGATTCCTGTAAAACCTGGATAAAGCACAGGTTTCTAGCTCAGCCTTTGCAAACATCAGTGTTTTCATGAGCCAGCAAGGTAGTCCTTCTACTTAGGATGATACAAGGAGAGAAAATCCAGAACATTCTGCCTGCAGATATAGCTCTTTCTCTGTTTCCAGGAAATCCATCTAAAAGCCAGTTTTGATGACTTTTAGATGACTGAATAGTCAAAGCTCATTGTATATGAATTACATGCATATGATTATATAAGAGACAGGAAATGGACATTTCTTTTCCCCTTCCGTAATTTAATAAATATCCATTAATTGTCTAACATGTGCTGAAAATTCTCCTAGACACTCTGATGAATCAATGAACAAAAGAAGTATAGTGCTTACATTATAGAAGAGAGGAAAACAAAAAAAATTTAAATTTAAGGATAAGTAAATTATTAATAGTATTAGTAGCAGTAGTAGTACTAGTAGTAATTGTTGGTTGTGGAGCTTGAACTCAGGGCCTGTGCACCATTTGCTCAAAGTTAGAGCTCTGCCACATTGAGCCCCAACTGGTTTTCTGGTGGTTAATTGGAGATAAGATTCACATGGGTTGCTTTGAGCCATGATCTTCAGATCGCAGCCTCCTGAGCAGCTAAGATTACAGGTGTGAGCCACTAACATCTGGCTCATAAATTATTATTTTTAAAGGTGATAAATATTTGACCCAGAAAAAGAAGAGGAAGGCTAACAAGATTGAAATTAGGTGAGGAGAATAGTTCCAACTTTAAGCAGGTCAGGGCAGCTCTCACGAAGAACACATCAGTTACAAAGACCAAAGGAGATGAGGAATGGGCCAGAAAATGCTCTTAGGCTAGATCATTCCAGGTAGGAGACCAAGAAAGCAAGGATATGCGTCATTTGTTCTAGGGACACAAGGAAGCCACTGTGACATGGAAAAAGCACAAAAAAAAAACCCAACAACATTCTACTATTGTTACCAATTGGCATCATTTGTCTCTCATTTCCATTTCTGATGTAAAAATCAAAACCTTTAGCATAAAATCACTAGCGCTCCATGTTTATCAAGAAGTGCAAAGCTAAAATTCCAAAAATTTAGGCATCACTCCCAAACTATGGTCTCTGCTTGGTATGTATGCTAATTCTCCATTCTCACAAACATACTCAGCCATGAGTTGTTAGGTAATGCACAAACATGCCTGATATTCAGAGAGGATGTCATCACAACAGAAATCAAGCAAAAGATCTTCATCTTGGATCTTCAGAGACTAAGCACAAAGACACCAGTTTCCTCCAACCAAGAGAAATTCCATCATCCTTAGTTAACATGAAAGCACCCATTCTTTCTGAAATGTCACTGCTCCTTTTGGCCTTTAGTTCATTGTTCATTTCCTTCACTTTTTTCCAGAACTTGCAACAATCAGGATGATTGTATGACTTATATAACATTTAACTGGGTGAATAACATATATTTTTTAAAAAATAAAAAGAAGACCCCAATAAAAGCAGTACTTTTTTTTTTTAAATCTGAGGTAGGATCAGGCAGCTTTCTCCCACAGTAAACATCTTATTTGCTCATCTTGACTCACACGAAACCAGCCATGATCTCAAGAGTTGATAAATATAGAATGGACACAGGCCTACCTTGCCCAGCTGGTCCTTTTTCACAAAGCCAGTGGCAGCTGCAATGTTCCCAGCTCCCTCCACTGTTTTCTGGGCTACTGTGGTCACACCTGTCACCACGGCCCCTCCTACATTTGTCACCTGCTCTTTGGTCTTCTCAGCCACTGGAACAAGTCAAGAGTGACCACAGATAGAAGGATGGGTAAAAAGAAAATGAATTTAAAGACTTCCACATGCATGCTTTGTCAATCTCTGCACATCTACATTCATATCCACCACATTCACCGTAGGCAATGGAAAGGATTAGTGAAACAAAACTACCAAGGAGCACAGTTCAGTCAGAATTTGGATCTTGCTAAGATATTCTGTTATAATTATGGAGATATTAAGAGGTGATTCAGGTTTAATTTCCGCATACATAGAGCCATGGGCCACTGGGGTTAGGTTTAATGAAGGTAAGTGTACAGAAAGCAATGCTCACAGGTGCAGGGATAAGTGAATATGTCTCAGGATAAAATTTATTTCTATTTCAATGTCAAATCTTTGATCTCATTCAGAAGCTCATTTCCATCATGCTTCCTAAGTGTTATCGCACATACTACTTACCGGCTAAGTTACCCTAATCCAAAAAATGTCCAGAATTCAAATGCCCCCATATCTGTAAATTCTGAATACCCAAACTTGCATTAACCAGTTCTATTTTATAATTTAGCAACAGGAACAGGTCATTTTTCACAAGACACTGTCATAGTTAGTGCTTTCTGATCATATGAATTGCATTTCTTTTTGATTCATTTACTTTTTGTTATTTTTCTAATAGAGATTTAACATTTTTCACAGGCTTCCCTGGACCTTAAAGCTCCTTGTATAGCTGGATGCCAAATTAAGGCCCTCAGCCTTTTTTCTGTAGCTGGAAGGGTAGGTACATCAATTTAGTAGGCACTTTACCCAGGCTAGCCTCCAACCACAATCCTCTACATCTCAGCCTCCCAGGTGGCTAAGAATTACAGGCAAGAGCAATCACTATCAGCTGTGAAGTATATTTGTGGTTTCTCTCTCTTATTGTACCACACCTGTCAGCTGTTGACAGTCTGTGAGCTACTTTATTAAACTCTTCATCTCTTTTGGTTTTACTATTTTCATCTCTGTTACCAATATCTTCCTTCTTATCATCATAGGTGTCATTTTTATTATTTTTGTCATTTACTTACTGTAATTTTTATAGAACTATTAAAGTACTTGGTAAAATTCGGCAAAGTAGAAATGAACACAGTAAATAATTTATGACTATCTTAAGGGGACTTTCTAAGATGTTCCCTACATCATAAAGGAAATATAAGTAGTTTAGTTCATGGTCAGAGTATTTTATTAAATACTACATAAAGTTTTACTTCAATTCTTTGAAAAATAGCGTTCTACGGAAGTAGAGCTGTGGTACAAGTGGTAAAGTGCTAGCTTTGCGCAGAAAAGCTCAAGACAGCACCCTGAGTTCAAGCCTCACAACCAACAACAAAATAAGCAATCTTTGCATTCCATTTGCAGTCTCTTTAATTTTGCCCAAATACTCAAAACCCAAATATTGCAATTAAAGAATCATTGATCCATTCGGTCATCATTCATGGAATTACATATATTGTTATTTGCTATCTATCTATTTATCTACCTAGAAACACCTCATAAATAGGAAACTTTACACAAGAGTCCCTATTCCTCCACAGGTGCAGCGCCTGCTTATAATTACATTCTGAATGATCCATTGCAGGCAGGCCTCCTCCTCACTATTCTGAAAAATGCCCCTGAATAGGAGGTTCCTGGAACTCACCTGTTGTCACCCCATGAACCACTCCCTCCTTAGTTTTGGAGCCTAAAAAACAGAAAGAAATTCAAGATATAAATCTCAACCTATCCTTAGATTTCTGTTTATCCAGTTTAAAATACAACAAAGCCCTCAGTTTTCAGAAGTCACAAATAATGATATCCTCCGAGAACAACATTAAGGTTTAATATTTAAAAAACCCACTAGGATGATATTTCTCTTAAGGAAATAGAAAGACTTGGAAAAATTATATTAAGTGAAAGAAACATAGGTTGCATGTTTCCCTCATTTGTACTAATTAGGATGTGTCTATAAATCTACATGTAAATACAAGGGATAGTAAAAGATAAAAAGTTACACTTGGACCTGATAAATTAAACAGGATTCTAAACATTCAAACAGTGAGACCAAAGGTGGATATTCTTAGGAGAGGATCACAAAGGCTCAATAGCTATGTGATTATATAAAATGATACTTATTGAAATGAACTCCAAGAAATAGAAGAGTTTCTTTTTGTGTTTTTTCCACCCTTTTTAAAAACTATTTTTTATTTCTGTACTTTTTGTTTGGTATATGTTTATCCGATTTAGGGAGGGGAAATGGAAGCACAGAAATGGTTAGGAAAAGGGTGAACTATTTGAACTAATTCAGCAGTGATAATCACTACACTAGGGTGAAAATGAACTTGAAAACTTGTGTGGGAGGGAAGCCTGGAAGGGGAAAAACTGGGAGAAAATGAGGGAAGAGGTGACACTGTTCAAATAAGAAATGTACTCATTCACTGACTTATGTACCCCTGTGTACATCACCTTTACAATACAACTAAATAATTAATGAATTCATTTGAAACCCACTAAATCGAAGATGCCCAGTGAACCAAAAGAACAGAAGGAAATGAAGCTATCAGTATGGTTTCTCCAATTAAAGAAGAGAAGGGCGGAAGGAAGGAAGGAAGGAAGGAAGGAAGGAAGGAAGGAAGGAAGGAAGGAAGGAAGGAAGGAAGGAGAAAAGGAGAGAGGGAGGGAGGGGATAAGGAGAAGGAAGAGGTTGGGAGGAAATGTTCATCAGTGAATGCTGAGTTCGATGCCAGTCCACCATTCCAGTATTACTGCTGCTCAGTAGAGTAACTGTGTACTGTATATCACAAAGTTGCTGGAAGAGGAGATGTTTTATGTTCTGCTCTAAAGGAGTGATACATGATTGAAGAGGCAGTATGGGTAACGGATTCAGCGCTGTCTGCCTGTCCTGAAATATCACACAGGAGCCTATTCATAGGTGTTATTTTTATGTTTTAGGTAAAAGGAAAAAGGGGAGATGTTAGCTCAACAGGATGACTTTCCATCCACTCGCCTCCACTTCTCCTAGCAACTTCCACAGGGGGGGGAAAGTGAGGTAACCCTGAGCTGAGCGAGAAGACTATCCATGCACTGCTGCAGAAGCTGTTACCCAGTCAACAACAGGGGAAGGAAAAAAGGCGTGCACACCTGCCCACTCCTCATCTGGACTCTTTATAACATCTATTTAATACAGCTGCTCATGCTTATCTCATAGGAGGTGATTACAAATCACATTTAATTGAGCTGCCTGATATGATACATGCAATAATGGGCTGTGAGTGTATTCAAAGTAGGGTTCTCTGTAAAACCATGTCACACAATCTTGACCATTGCTAAACTTGTACAACTAGGCATTACATTTATTATTAAAGGTATGCTTGCTTGACCATGTTTTTATTGTGAAAATACCGTACAGAGGGGATACAATTACATGAGCAAGGTAATGAGTACATTTCTTATCAAGCATTGTTGCCTCCTCCTTTGTTTCCCCTTGCCATCCATGCCCACCCATCTCCCCCTCACCCCACCTCCACCCCGCCAATGTTGTAAAGTTCGTTTTTTGACATAACAACTTGTACATCTCATTGCTGCAATGGGTCCACCTGTATCCATATTTAAACAATTTGCTTTTCCCCTTCCCCTCCACAAATTATACCAACATCAAATACAGTGAAAACAGGGGTTATACCATCAGGGAGGGTCATACAAAGCAACAAAGAAATGATCTTATAAATATTTTTAAATCCTAACTCCTGGAATGTTGAATTTGTCAGTATAATTCACAACACCTTTTAAAAAAAAAGGTTCTGGAAAAATAATTTCATAGTAGATTTGGGATTCACTGAAAATAAAATTCAAACAATGGAATTCCCTAAAGAAAGAAGAATATAAAACATGGGGATATAAAGTCCAAGAATGATTTTAACTACATATAGAAAAGATGTACTAAGTCTCATCTCATTTAACTTTTACCACATCCATTTACCAGAATGTAATGTGCCATCTCATAGGTGAGGAACTTAAAAATCATTGCTAAGAGATTTATCAATCTATAAGAATATTTACCAACCTATAATACCAATTTGTAGATAGTTATTAATCTAAAGGAAAGTTTCCAGTTACTTTCCATAAATTTATATAGAATTAAATACTCTCAAAAGACTATAACAATGCTCAATAGGAAATGTACTCATTACCTTACTCATGTAACTGTAACCCCTCTGTACAATGTCTTTGCAATAAAAATATTTTCTAAAAAAGACTTTCTCAAAACCATATATGGGAGTGTTGGTTAAAAATGCTAATCATTAGCCAGGCAGTAGTGACTCCTGCCTTAATCTTAGCTACTCAGGAGGCTGAGATATGAGGATCACGGTTCAAAGCCAGCCTACGCAGAAAAGTCTTTGAGACTCTTACCCCTCAGTAATCACCAAAAAACTGGAAGTGGAGCTGTGTCTTAAGTGGTAGAACACCAGCCTAAGAACTCAGGAACAGTGCCCAAGCCCTGAATTGAAGACCCAGGACAGAAACAATAACAAAAGAATCAAGAACAGTTTAAGCAGTGCTTACCCTCTTGCTGCATAATACAGACAAGTATGGAGTAGCCATACTATAAACTTTGGTAATGCCATACTATAAACTTTGGGTCAGTGTTACCCATTGTACTTTCAATGTCATGCCTTGTCCCTAATTGTGTCTATAATATGTGATGCTTTTGTCTTTCACCCCATCTGCCATATTCTCCATTTGAATTGACACATTTTCCCTCAATAAGGTGTGTTGATGGTCTAGGTTCTCTTTAGGATATCAGTAACCATGTCTCTATAACCTACTACTCCTATACAGGAATTTGTGTTTGATTCAGATTTTAATTCCAGAAGTTTTCACTTTGTTTCTTCACCACATTTTCATCTTTGTTGCTGACTTTCCTCTTTCGATTATGCATTCCTGTAACAGGTCGCCTGGGCCTGCCACAGGGGGATAAAGATGCCACATGGCTCCAGGTGTCACTGTATGTGCGAACAGAGCTAAGTGACAAATCACCAACAAACTGTGAATCAAGTGTGAACATTTGGTCACTGATTAGAACAGGCTTCTGTTATTTATGTCATGATTTGTGGGCTGAAGAGCTAGCAGTAAAGCTTGTGCCTTATGTAATTCTCTCAATTTATGTACCACAATAACAAATTTACATTGTGTTGCTCAGAGACTAGTGTTGTTTCTTTTTTTTTTTACTAGAATCTGCATATACTAGCATCATATTTAGTGAGAACAGCTTATACTTAAAAACTATTTCTAATCTCTATTCTTTGCCCCTGAATCTCATACCTTTTATTTCTTTTAAAAAATAACTCTTGAAAAAAATTGCCAATGGCTGGTCTGTGGTCTTTCTGCTCTACCTCATTAGCACCTGAAAATGTGAACCTTAGTTAAAGTATGGAGCCAAGGAAAGTGAGTGTCTTGAAAAAGTTGCTACGTATCTAATGAATCCCCTGATCTTTGCCACCATAACAGAAATTATCTGAAATGGATCATTAATCTTCTATTTCTGGGTAATCTCTAATTGATAAGACATAGCTCCAAAATAGCTGCCAAGTGTCTGTGAGCAAGCAGGAAACATTGCTGAGGGACACTGGAAAGGACTATTCTGGGGGCTGAGTTGGCCACAGTCTTATTTCTTGTGACCAGACCAGGGTGCAGTGCAAAGAAAGTTACATGCACCACCCGCAAGCTGTGAGAACTCAGCTACACTGGGTGAGCTGATGCATGCTCGCCTTAAGTACCAATCATCTTGCACCCACTGCTGCTAATTGATGCTAATTGAGCAAAGTGACACTGGAAGAGTTTTGAAGATCATTACTTACTTCAATATATTGTTATACAATGTGGCATGATAAAAAAAAGAGGGTTTTCTGCTTTGGGATATGAATCTCAATTTATAATTTCTGTGTCATGTGAAGAAGGAGATTTTTGTCTATTAACCTGAAGTATGTTCATTGAAAATTTTCATATGTACGTATCACAAAGGAAAATACACATACCAAATGAATTACTAGGGGACTTTTTTCAGTGAAGATCAAAAAGGGTTTTATCATAAATGAATGATATAGCTTTTCTCATACGATTTCTGCCATTCTTCTTGAGCCACAAGTGAAATTACAAAATATTCTTTGATCACTACTCATCTTTTAAACTAATTATTGATAACAGGTTTTGCAATGAAGGCTGAAAAGATAAGAAGAAACCATATTGGCAAAGAAATTGCTCTGTTGAAGAGTTTGCTGATAACAATTATGGTTGTGATATATTCAGGCATGCTCAATTACTCAGACGTTCTCTGTTATGGCAACATCTTACAAAAATTCTGCAAGGCATCTGCATCTGTTATTCATATTTTTTACAAATTAAGAAGTAAAAAGTGATTTAACATGGACTTAAACTTAGGTTACATGACATCATGTTCTTGCTACTTTTACTATAGCCTATAGTCAATGCCAACCCTCTGTTTGATGAATAAAGTTTTATTGAAACAGAAGTAACTGTCTCTGCTGTTTTTACACTTTAACACTAGAGCTGTTAATCTTTAAGATTGTTTCATTTGCTCAGACTTCAGTTAATAGTGAACATGAACAAGTGTTCCCTACAGTAGTTGGGAAAGAGATTTTTATGGCTCAAAATATTTTTCATCTTTTCCTTTAACAAAAAGTTTACAGATACCTTGACTATACATACTAATGTCTTTACATGGTTATTTTTCAACTCAAATCTGTCTATGCTTCCAGGTTTTTTATACCTTTTTTTTTACAATCACAGTCTTTTTTAAAAATTATTTTTATATTTTATCTTATTTTATTTGTATTGTTGATGGTGGGGCTTGAACTCTGAGCCTGGGCGCTATCCCTGAGCTCTTCAGCTCAAGGCTAGTGCTCTACCACTTGAGCCACAGCGCCGCTTCTGGCTTTTTCTGTTTATGTGGTGCTGAGGAATCTAACCCAGGGTCTCATGCATGTGAGGCAAGCACTCTACAACTCAGCACTTTCCCAGCCCCAATGTTTCCAGGTTTTAATAAGATATATAATAAATATATAATTTGTTAGTATATTATATGTTAAATATCATGGTAGACCACTGAAAATGATTTTAAAATACTAGGCATGTGAACAAATTACAATTTTCTATAATTGTCTTACAGCAAATAGCACAATTAATCTTTAAAATGGTTTCATTTGCTCAAACTTCAGTTAAAAATGAACATAAACCAGTGTTCCAGATTATAAAATCAGCTCATTATCTGGAAAAATGTATTAAATTCATATTTAACAATTTCTAGATTTTTCTAAATGAACAGAATGAATATTAGCATCCTAAAAAATTCTTTAAAGTCATCAAATCCTTGGGTATATGAAGTAAAAGAAAAAAATTAGTTGTAAGGCTACAATTGGGGAACTTGGGAGATGGAGGCTGAAGAGAAAGACAATGAAAATCTGCAGGCCACTGGCTCTGAATTCTAAATCCTATCTACAAATACATAATTCCCAGTTCACACACATGAAAATACCTTGCTGGGAACTTATCAATTCATTCTTCCTTCTGTAACATTCAGTATTTTCTAAGCTAGGTTTTGAGGTACAGAAAGTTTAATTTAACTGCAGAATGGAGGGAAGATTAAGTCAGCATAAAAAGAATGGAGAAGAGGGAAAAGTAATCTGCTATAAACTTGGATGAGTGGCATTCCTAAAAAAAAAAAAAACACAAAGAAAACAATCTGGGTGTAAAATCTCCCCTGTTGATCTATGTTGGAGAGACAGCACAGCTTTTCCTCACTCTCGACCCAACAGTGCAGCATCCCTACGATCTTTGCTATCCGGTATGTTCACTCACCACCTGACTGTTCACTCTGTGAGTCCTGCGGCTACAGTGGCCTCCAGAGAAGTTAGAAGAGCCCAGAGAAGAAAGAGGGGAGGGAGCTCTGTGTATGTGTGTGTGTGTGTATGCGTGGATGTGCACGCATGTGTCTATACTGACAGATGAGTATATGAACACATGTGTTGTCCATCCTTTCCCCGATTTAATACAGCTCAAGAAGCAGAGAAGAATCAAGAGAGTTGGCAGGCACTTAAGGGAATGAAAGGGTGGTAAGTATCAATCTCTCCTTTATTTATCATGTGTGTCATTTGATAAATGAACTATATAGACACATCCATAGCAACCTGCACTTCGTTGAGCAGTTAGTCATGTAATCACAAGGAGGAGCTTCTCTGGGCTAATCTGTCCTTCTCACTTTAGTGTGGTCTCTTTCTCCATCTTGCCTTACCATAGATCAAAATCTTACTCCAAGCCCAGAATACATTAAAATGAGCCAATAGTATCCAGGCTGGTAAAAGAACCCAAAAATCTCATGAACTCATTCTGCACATACCATGATATGTTGAGTTGAAACTATTCCAAGATACAATGATTTAAAAAGCAATATTCTTGATTATTTGAATAGATTTTGAGTTTTAGAAGCCATCCTCTGAAAGATAAGCACTTACATCCAGAATATTCATAAAGAAATTTTAAAAAATCTAACTAATCTGGAAATACCAAAAAGATTAGCCTATTTTTTTTAACTATTAGCCAAAGTATGCACATTCACATTCACCCACCTAACATATACCTATCCCTTGATCCGTCCAGTTGACAAGGGCTGAATCAAACAAGACACACCGGTGTTTAAGCATTCATCATCCCAACCCACCAACCTGGGATAAATACCAAAATTTACCTACCTACATAGAGAACCCCCTCTTTTGTTTTTCCTGCAGCCTCTGCCACACCCTGTTTGGTTTTCTCAGCAGCAGCTACAACTCCTTCCTTGGCTTTTGAAAGTCCTTTCATGAATACATCCATGGCTAATGATCGCTTTTACACCACACTGGAGAAGACAAAAATAGGTTTTGAGGCTATTTAAAGAAAACAAGATCAAAACACCCAAGGTTGTTGTGGGTTTTTTTTTAAGAGAACACTTTTTAAGAGGTAGCCATTCCAATCATTAGACATTGTCTTATTTCATTTTATTTTATTTTTAGCTTTTGGCATTAAAATTTAACATCTCCCATCGATCTTCGTTGGTGAAAGTCTAGCTGTCTACGCAAGGCTTGGGATGAATCATCTGAGCTGTTCTGGCTGCATTTCTCAAGTGGACTTGCATGAAAACACGAACCCTCTTTTTTTTTTTTTAACTTTCCAGGGCCCAAGGTGACCATGTAAGTACGAAGTGAGCTTCTGAGGAAGAGCATCACAGGTAGCTTTGGTGAGTGGCATCCTTTAAAAGAACCCCAGAAGAGGGCCCAAGGGCTGATGGTGGAGAAGAAAGGGAGAGAGATCTACCTCCTCTCGGGGTGGCTGCTAGGGGGGGCCCAGGGTGCTGGTTCTATCCCAATAGACCATCCACCCCACACTCACTATCTACCCAGAGCAGACATCCAGGCACACCCGCAGGCAATCTTTAGATCTGAGCCTCCAGTCAGTATGGGTGAGGGTGGGGCGCCCTCCCCAGCGGGACCTACTGGAACCTTCTAGCTGACCCCGACTGCACACTTGTTAACCCTTTCCCACCTGTTGACTTGCATCCCCTCTCCCTCTCCCTCGGCGCTTTGATTGAATTGTTTGCAAAGGCAGCTCCACCAAGGTGTTGGGAGAGTCATGGAAGTTGGATGTTTACATGGGGAAGCGCTGTACCGCGGGGGGGGGGGCAGCTCGTCCTGCCTGCCCGCCTGCCTTGGGGGAAGCTTGGGAACCGTAGGAAGCAGGAAGCCAAGTCAGGAAATTCACGTCCCTTACTGGGATCAACCCAAGGTTCCCACGGCGGACCGCCTGGACGCCGCGGGTTCCAGCCACAGCTCCAACCCCAGGCTCCGGACGCGCAGGGCGGTTCCTCGCCCCCGTGGGGGTCCCCAGTGCGGTTGACTTAGGTATTATTTTTCAATCTACAGGTGCTTACCTGTGTCCCTCTGCGTTCCCAGCGCTCCGATTCCTCCTCCTTGGCCTCTAGTTTGCGGGGTTTGATTTAAAAATAAAAAAAAAATTAAGCAATTCCCGAATGTTATTTAAACGGGCAGAGGGAGGGCAGGGAGCGCACAGGAAGGGCGGAGGCGCACGGGAGCGGAGAAGGATGCACCCCCCCCCCGGGAGGAGGCAGCTGTCAGCACCACCCAGAGGCTGGGGGGGGGGACGTGGGAGGCAGCCCTGTCGTCGAATCACCCCCCAACCCACCCCTCACAGGAGGATCCCACAGATAGAAAGGTGGGGGGGGGCTGGAAGGGAAGGCGCCAAAGGCGGGGCGGGGTCCCGGGGCCACTCCAAGGCCAGCACGCACCTGTCACTCGGGCTCGCTCGCCCCCCTCTCCCCCGGCCCTTCCGGTGCTGGTGGCGGTTCTCCGGGTCCTCTCCCTCCTCCTTCTTCTCCTCCTCCTTCTCCTCCTCCTCCCCCCCCACCCCGCTCGCTGCCCCCACAGCTGATTTGTCAGCGCCTCTCCCCGCCCCTCTCCCTGCGCTCCGCGCGCGCCGCGTGCGCCTCGCCTCGCTCCTTCTCCCGGGTGCGGGCGGGGATGGGGGGGCAGGCGGTACCTCCTCTCCGGCTTGACCGCTCCCTTCCCCCCGTCAATCCCCCTCTGGTCCTGGGAGGCGCCTGGGGGCAAGTTTGGGGTGCATGGGGGCTCCTGGGGACGAGGTAGGGGTTCTGGAGCTTGGATTGATACCTCTCCCCTGGTCCCCCATGCCTCCTGCTTCTGCCTTTACTGGGGAGGAGGTTGCTCATGGGAACCCCTGGTCAGAGTCACGCTGAGAGCGTGGGGGGGGGCGGGAGATGAACCCCTAAATCAGATCCTGTGTACTGTCTACGGGCGGGCAGTTCAGCAAGGATGCTTGCTCACGACCGTGCTTGGGCGAGAGCACGTTCCACTCCCGTCCCTTGAAAGGTGTCTGGGTGCATCGTAGGACAGCATGGATGGTGGCTTTTTGTCCAGATATCCTCGGGGATGGGGGTCAGCCTTGCACGCGCCCGCCGGGGTCCTGCGGGTGAAGAGAAGCCCACCGAGGAAGAGTTACAGGTCGCGAGGCGAGGAGGAGGCGGCGCGGGTCCGGCACACGCGCCAGCATCACCATCTCCCTTCCCACCAATCAGACGCTGCCAGGCGCTGAGCATCCCCCCCCGCCCCGCCCCCAGCGGTGATCTAGGAATAAATACTCCCCAGCCGGCCAGAACAAGTCGGTCCAGGGGCGCTTTTGCCCTGGATAGAGAAGTCATTCCCTAGACTCCAGCACACGGACCAGCAACTCAATCCTGCGCGCGCGCGCTCCCAGAGCATCCTGTCCGATTCCTTCTCCAGCCCCTGGGGCCTCCTCTTCTTGGGCACACCGCTCACCCGGTGGATTCCGGTTCCCACCGGTCCCCGCTCCTCCCCGCACACGCGCGCACCGACGGGCGCACGCGGGAGATTCGAGGCATTGTGCTGCAGGGGTTAACACGTGTGTAGGGTTTCAGAGCCCAGTGGAAAACAGCTGTTGTCCCCCGTTTCCCCGCAGGCACCAAGAAGCAAGCGCCGCCTCCAGCCCAGAGAACATCTGTTTTCTTCGCCTGCATCCTGAACAAGTGTGTTGGGCACTGGAAAGGAAAACACCAGTGTGCTGTCTCTCTCCTTCCCTCCCTCCCTCCTTTTCTTCCTTCCCCATTCCCTCTCTCCCTTCCTTCCCTCCCTCCTTCCTTCCCTCCCTCCTTCCTTCCCTCCCTCCTTCCTTCCCTCCCTCCTTCTTTCCCTCCCTCCCTCGATCTTTCCTTCCTTCCTTCCTTCCTTCCTTCCTTCCATCTTTCTTTCCTTTCTCACTTTCTTTCAAGTTTTCTCTGATCCTTGTACTCATTTGAGTTCTGAAATTTGAGTCAACGCAGTCTAAGTCTACAAAACAGCCTCTTGGAAACTGTAAGGTCCGCCCCTGGATGGCAAGCAGACTCCACCCTCCTCGCAGCAAAGTCTCCACCCAGTACCTGCGTTACCTAGGCAACTGGGACACCTGGAAGAGGTCACTTCTGCATCCACTGAGGTCACATCTGAATTTGATGTGGCCACACCTTTCCCCGCCCATACCCTAGATAAGGCCTAGCCCAGACCCAGAGGCTCTCTCTGTTAGTTTCTAGCTCTCTGCTCATTCTCTGCTCTAGCTCTTTCCTCTCTTTTCCAGCTCTCTCATTCCCAGCCACGTGGAGTGCCAACTTTGCCTGGTCCCAGCAGGTCTACTGAATAAACCTACCCCTTACCTGAATACCACGTGAGTGCTACTGTTCTTACCCCTCTCTCTGCTCTTTTCTAGCTCTTTCCTCTCTCTTTCCCAGCTCTCTCTCATTCCCAGGCCTTTTCCAGCCACATGGAGTGCCAACCTTGCCTGGTTCCAGCAGGTCTACTGAATAAACCTACCCCTTACCTGAATACCACTTGCGTGGTGCAGTTCTTACTCGGCTACCTCTTTTTAAAAACCTAACAGAAACCAGGAGGGATAAAAGGCAACTGACTGTATTTATGAAAAATATGTACAGAAGGCCGTGGCCCGCATGTTCAGGAGAAGGAAACGGAAGCGTGTGAGAGCGATGTGTTGTTTAAGCACAGCCTTGTACACTCTGCCCCTGCCTTTTGGGAAATTAGCCTTTCTGTAATGCAGTAATACACTTGGGAGAAGGAGGAACTTGAAGGAGCTATGTTGTTCTTTCCCTGTTTTAACTTTCAGAGAACAGGAAGCAATAGCCAGGCCTGGGTGGTTCATGCGGGTCATCTTAGCTACACAGAAAGCTAAGATCCTAGCTGCGTGAAGCCAGCCCAGAAAGAAAAAGTACCAAGACTCTTAGTTGCAGGTAACCCCCCAAAAAGCAGGGAGTGGAGCTGTGGCTCAAGTGGTAGAGCACTAGTCTTCAGTGAAAAAACCAAGGGATAGCACCCAGGCCCTGAGTTCAAGTGCCAGTACGAGTAAGGGAACAAACAAACAAAAAAAGAGAATGAATCAGGATAATCCTCTTCCCCTGCCCCAACTTTCTATTGTGTAAAATACTCAAACATAGAAAAATAGGATAAAGGAACATCACATCTATGTCGCCCAACTTCCATAAGTTACAATGCATGATTTTGTCTTATCTGTCTGCCCACTTGCTGTATCACTGCTAAAATCTCCTGTCAACTCTAAGCTTTATATACATCTTTATTTTCTGTAAAAACTGCAGCACACAATCATAGAATACACAAGTTACCAAAGTAACAGTGGTCATCAGATTATGTTTTAAATTGGGTTGTGTTTAGTATAGTGAAAGGCTCAAATATTAACTGTCCTTTTAAGTCATCTTTGAAGAAATTCACATATTATAGGGCAGCCCACCACATTTTGGGGGGTCCGGTCGTGGGGCCTGAACTCTGGGCCTGGTCACTGTCCCTCAGCTCTTCAACTCAAGGCTAGCGCTCTACCACTTGAGCCACAGCGCCACTCCCGGCTTTTTTCTTTTTGCTTATGTGGTGCTGAGGAATCGAACCCAGGGCCTCACGCATACAAGGCAAGCGCTCTACCACTGAGCCAACTTCCCAACCCCAGCCCACCACATTTTGAAGTTACCAAAAATTTCATCACCTGAACATTCCCTTAGACTGTTGTTAGGCGCACATATTCTAGAAGTTCTTAAAGATGGATCACATAATGTGATCATTGCTTTCATCTGAATGACTTTTATCATCCAGTAGAACATTTTTGGGTTTCATTCAGTTGTTGCATGAATCCATAGTTTGTTGCTTTTTATTATTTCTTTTTATTACCACCAATAACACATGTTTCCCACTGTGACCCATCATGTCCAGTGGAGCTGGATAGACTCTGATGACAATTATTTAATATATCATTTCATAGGACACATTTATAGTTTCATGGGGGCCTCGTCAAAACCTGGTGCTCTATCCTAAGGGTGAGTAAAATGAGAACTATGTTTGGATTACCAGCAGACCAATGAAAGAATTATCTTGGGATGTGTGTGGTTCTCATAACACAGCACAATCCCACACCTTTATGTTTGGCAGAGGACTAATATACTGCGTCATTTAATCATCACAAGTGGGGTAGTTAAATTTTATGGAACTTTTAAAGACAGGGAGAATCTAGGGCACCATTGGTTGTAGTGGTGAGCTGACACGACGACTCCTAAAGACAGAACTGAGATCATCTAATAGACACAGCTCCAGAAGACATGATCAAACTTTGCATTGACAGTAGCTTCTTTGAAGACTCACAATCTGGGAGTGAGACAGCCTGGGAAGAAATAAGGTGAGAGCTAGTTGTGTGAGGAACAGCCTTTGGATTTGAATGTGAGGATGGGAATCAAAGATGCCTTTTCTTTTAGAGCATTCGTAGATTGCCTTTTCCCTTTTAGTCTCTCCCTTTTATCTTTGAGTGACCGCACAGTGTTGAGTAACTCATTAACCTTTCTGAATGTAATTTTAAATGAACTTAATGGCCTATAGATCATAAGAAATATGAAGAATAACCTACTTCCATTCATTACTCATCTACCCAGTTGTGAAAAATGCCACATACACTTTTGGTTTCACTTTAAGAAATGAAATAATATCTTTGGGGTTAATGTGGAACTTAAATACTGATTAACGAATGAATGCATGCATTGCCTAGACTTCCTTTGCTTTCACCATGAAACAACAAAAGTTATAGGTATGCCACGTGCTCAGCATGTGCTACATCCAAGATGGGAGAGTGGAATGATGTGAAAATAAAGAAGAGAATATGATTAAAAATGGGGCAAAGAATTAATTTCAACTTTGAGAGAGTGTTATAGATACTGCATAGGTATTTATGAATTATGGTCCACAGTTATGGTGAACATAGGAGTGATGTTAATGACCTTTAGGCCATTTGATTCTCCAGCTGCACCTTCCCTTCATCCTCTTCAGAAATTGGATGAGAGACTTGAGCCTAATGAGATCTCCATAGATGTCATCTACATTCCCATAGAGAATACAGGAGGGAAAGCAGAATGTGTACTTTCAAGGTGGCACTGAATGTGATTTTTGAATGGGCCTGGGCTTGAGAGAGCAGTAGGGTTCTTCCAAACAAATACAAAGAGCTATGTTTTAAACAGAGCAATGAGGAGGTAGTATAATGTCCACAGGTGACTCTGTATTTGAATCTCCAATCTTGAGAGGGTAAAGTTCATTGGCACATTCATATTGTTTCTTTAATGCCATGGGCAGCAAAGAATATTAAACTATGATACAAACCGTGCCTACAGGAAATGACTTTGTAAGCTATGAAAACATCCGTGGGCTATCACTAAATACCTCCATGGATTTTGTGGGCCTCGGAATATGAAGACATATGAAGTTCTAAGATAAAGGATGTTCAAGTC